ATTTTGATTCCGAATTTGGTCATTTCAGAAAATAAGAGTTAAGGTCACTGAAATATATATTAACGGACATCTCGGGACCTACGGAGGCATTCTTCGACCAAAGACTTTTTAAAGATTATGTATTTTAGTATAAATCAAAAACAAGTAAGAAAGTTGTATTCGGCGGGGGTCGAACCTCGTATACCCAACAATATTCTTTTCGCACTCTACTCTCCAAGTTCTTTTATTTGATACTCGCTGGTATTATTAAGAAAAAAGTAACCGCGTTCTCTAGCGTGATCATTTTAAAATTAACCCGTTTTTAGGCAGATAATATATATTTATTTGAGAAATGTATAAAATAGTTTTAAACATTCTATCATGTTTGCGTTATAATAAATAAGCATAAAACCTCGCAAACGAGAAAATAATGAAATTTAATCAATTGTAACTGTGAGTGAGTATCGCTAATTCTTGCCATTTTTGTACTTAAAGAGCAGACGGTTTCGTAAAATATTTGTGGAAAATTTCAGCTTTCTAACTTTTATAATATCTGGATAACGCGCAAAAACCCATAAATTTTTGTTACGAAAAATAGAGTTGCATTTAGGTCATGTCCTGCTGCGGACTTCTGCTTTGACTAATTCAGCCGTTTTCAATACCAACCTGCGTGTAAAAACTTCCAATATTTCTACCAAATTTGAAGTTGATGTATTGATTTCTTCGACGGAGAGGGCCAAAAACAAACAGCACACAGACGGACACACATAGCTAAATCAACCTAGAATTTTCCGCTGATCAGGAATATATATACTTTATAGCGTCTCTGAAGCTTCCTTTTGGGTGTTACACACATTAAGAAAAAAAAAACAAAATGAGTATACCTCCATCTTACGGTAGTGGGTATAATAACATTGATAACATTGACAGCTCGAGAACTTATATGTTACAAAACGCTACACATAAGCTTGGTGAGACTGCTATTTGAATATGCCTCTGTTATGTGATGTCCTTTTTACAGGTATTATGTAGATTCAATAGAATCTGTTCAATAGCATTCCCGCTCTTTGCTTTATGTTTGCGACAGAACCCAATTATCTCTTTGCCTCTCTATCAAAATTGGTAGATTACGTTTGTTTCCCTTGACGTCATTAGGAAAACGTGGAATTATTCTTGGTGTTTCTTTCTTAGTCGAGTTGGTAAATGCCACTAAATACCCGCCGGCACTGCTAGATAAAATATAAGATAAATTTCAATGTCGCTAACCGTCTTTCTGCAAACTTTATTTTGATAAAACTCAACCAATGTAGACATAACCACGAGTTTTCATTCCATTTACGGTCCTATGCAAAAACCGAAATGATCTCTAGCATTTAACTTCAACATCGGATTGATTAAATTCTATCGAATTAACTCTCCTTAACACAAGGGCCTATGCCACATTCAAATTAAGGTTTGACATTTAAAGCTTTGCATGATTCGCAAATTAAACCGGTGGCCAAGCTTTTGCATATTTGCAACAGCTTAGGGGTCCCCTTCAAACTCGTATCTATACAGATTGCAAGTGTGCCTCTTTTATTCTTTTTCTTGTTTATTGATACATGAATTTATTTTTTCTCCATTTTTTTTCTATATTTTTGTTTGTGTTGTAAGAAAGCGGCCTGCTCCCTTACTAATTAGCCATACTTGACGGTTCTGCGGCTTATGAAAACATGTTCGATCAGACCTATGTTAGCATACGTAAGAATAGATACATAAGAATAACACATATGCAAGTCAAAACAGTTATATAACGGGACAGGTATGGAGATCGCCACTATAAAAGAGCACGTAGCGAGGTAAGTAATCACAGACTACTAAACTAGTTGACGTTAGTGGTAAGTTTTTTTTTGATTTCACGGATAGGGAATGGCAGGTTTGGCTTAGCCGTCATCCCTGAATGACTAATGGACACTCTCTCTTGCGACGTGAAACGGTCACGGACGGACGATTAGCTCTATAGGCCGAGGTTGGCTGTTGTAACACCCGCGGCGTGTTCCTTTTCTTTACAGAATATTGCGATACAGAAAACGTGAAAAAATTAAGAATAATGTTTCGGTACGCATTAAAATCAATTAAGAGCGTTAAACAAGAGTCAGGTCACCGCGCTGGTTTTTTTTCTTCTACCAGTCTTAAAAACGCTGATCATTGTAATCTTCGCTTAAATAAATAAATAGAAACATAAGAACAAAACCGAAGGGCCAAGTTATTTTTATACTATCAATCTTCTTGAAAAGAGTCCTGGATTGGCTGATTGGTAACAGTTAGTAATAATACTAGCATGAGATTTATTTCTAAGAGTCAATGGAATTCGGCTGTAAATTTAGTTTAGTTGAGTTTCATGTGTCAATAAATAAATAAACAATGTTGTCTGTTATATATAACAGTAGAAAGAGCGTGCTAGAAAGATTTCTTCAATTAGAATAACGAGGCCTTCGATAAATTACGTGCATAGCATCTTGCAACCATAGAATTCAACTGCTCAGTTTATTTATTAATATTTAGTCTGTTTAGACACACGATTTCAATGGCTTGGCAAAAATGAATATACATTGTATGCTATATCGATCATTTGTTTCATTATCCTTATATTTCATTTTTCCAGCCGTGTTCGCCAGTCCATTTACTTATCCACCGTCTGCGAAACTCACTTATATGTAGAATAAGTTATCATTGGGAAAGCTTTGTTGACTCTCCTCTTTTAAAATTTTTACTTCCATAATTCTTCAAAAATAAAAATTTGATGTGTTTTTTAACTATACCAAAGAAGTAAATATAGTCATATTAATTCTATTCCATATCTAAACTGAAAAAAAATAACACAGTTCAATAAACGTTATTCTTTGCTAAATGCTTTACTTTAATGCTTATTACAACTAGTCAATTCATGAGTAACGGCACCAAACTTATCTAAACATTCTGACGATTTCAGGATAGGACAGCAATATTTTAATGGTCCCCTTGTTATAGAAAAAATACCAACTTTACATATTATTACCAAAAACAGTAAATCTGTATTGCTCAAAATAAATCTGTATTGATTATTGCTGCCTCGCGTAGCTATTACAAGCCGAAGTCTTTCTAAAACACGTTCTTCAGCAGGCCTGTCTTAATTTTCAACCGTTTTTTTTCTTTAATTCTAATGTGATAGTAACGTTTTTTAAATTCTACAAGTGATAGAACGTAACTGCTCAAGGATATATATGAAATAAAATTTTCTCTTTACCAAAGGCAATTAATTACCGGCGAAGTTTTACGTAAATAAAATACTGCTAAATAATGTTGTTCGTGTGTACGATTAATATCCAAAAGTTTGGAATATTTAATATAATCAAATCGGCTAAGTGAAGATATTAGCAGAAATTAATTACAACCTAAGCTGAACACTTCGCACACTGCAAAATTAGCAATACTCTAGGAAAGTGTAAAAGATCCGTATATTGTAGTCATAAATTACTCACCTGGATAAAATTAAATATCTGCACAAATAACTCGGCTTCATAATAAAAGGTATGTAGTCTACTTACGTACTTCTTTGTATGTATCTATATAAATATGCACGTATAATATTCAAACCGGTTTTACAATCATATACATCCGAGCGTATTCAAGTGTTTATACTCTATCGCACGTATTGTATATATAAGTGTATCTATAGGTATTTGACCGTCTAGGCTTCTTTTAAAATATATACGCCTTTACTTATCTACAAAGAGTAGACACTTGTATTTCAATTGAGAGTTAAACTTCGTGTGAACATTTATTGTGGATAAGAAATGAGATTAATTTTTGAAGATAGGATTTGCTTGTTGATTGCCTTAATCGAACCACTGCAATAAAAAATGAAATAATCTACCTGTGAAACAAATTTCTGGCCTAATAATGAAATCCCAAAAGATAGCAAATTCACATGGACACTCCTCTTGAGTCTTTATTATCTTCGCTCAACTCATATGATAAAACTAGCTGCAAAGTACGTGTTTGTCCTCGTATTATTTTCGTATTTTTCAATTGTTTTTATTTGTTGAGTAGTATATATCAAAGGTATTTTAGTTAAAGTCATTAGTTGAAGTTCTTATTGATCAACATGTAAAAACCACAATGAAGGACGAAATTCATGTTCATATTGCATAGTTCATTAGATAACATAAAAATTGTTTTTAAAAAGTTTTTTTATGGTTACTGCTTTAAGCTCGAATGTCATCATTATTACCAAAAATCCGGCCATAGGAAATCTACTACCAACATTGCATATATATTTGTACGTAAAAACAAAGTAAATAGTTGACTTACAGTTGATAAATTTTTGTTAGTTGTGAACAAATAATGTTGGGTTCGGCACTTGTATATAAGTATTAGAATGTAACTAAATAAAAAAATGAAAACTAAAGCAAACTATTTTTTTTTGTTCCATAGTCACACTGAAAAATTATATGTATTGAGATTTTGTCATTAATTGAAAAACCTTATAAATACGTATAGTTGCCCTATCCTAACAGCACAATATTTATTTTTCTACTTTCTGTAATCATTCTGCAGAGAAATCTACAATTTTCGTATTGCAATTTTACATAAATTCCCCACATTATGGTGCTAATCCTAGTTCATTTAACTGAATCAGTTAAAAAGCCCAGTTCATAAATAAAATATATAAAATTGCTCAATAATAAGCAATGCTCATACTATTGATACGAAGACCGTTCCGTACAGCAGCAAGTAAAGTTAATGGACCGTAAAAGTTGTATATTGCGGCAATCTAATATATACAAACGTACGTGTAACATAGCATTTTCTTCTTTGCCAAAGGTCTTATTGCTGTATTAAATACAATTCGCATTCCATTGCTACTCATACGTACTTAACACTCATAAGTAGAACTCACGCATGCCCACCATTGAAACCAATTTATAGAAAGTTTACGTTTTCATATAAATGGTTTTAATATTTTCAATTCAAATCTTATGAATAAGCGAAGTACTTACTTGAATATTATTTCTTCTAACTTCATAATGCAACCAGTTGTCTGTAGAAAATGCAATAGCTAATAACGCTGTAGCAATAATGGCGGATATTGTCGCAATAGAAAGCGTGACAGCAGAACAAGGCATATTTGCGTACAAATATTAAATATTCCTTTATATTATTGGATGCAAAGCAATATTAAAACTAGTTTTCCGCGTTTATTTCTACAAACTACACTATACGTTTGCACCAATGCTTTCATACGAAGATAGTTTAACGACTAAGCGAAAAGACTTAAAAACTTGATCGTGAGACTTACTTGTAACAGAGGTGAAAAATTTAGTAACATGCTTGATTGACTTTCTTTTTCCATATTTATTCTCAGCGGTTGGCAACTTCATTCAGTCTTTTCAAATAAATGATGCATATTTGAGTGTAAAATATTCTGTAGTCATATCTACGTTAAGAGTTAGAAGCAATAACAAGTTGCTACATTCTGAATATAGAATAGAGTTCCTCGTACGATGGGAACATAAAGTGAAGATAAACAATTGAAATTATTTTTTTGGACGAATGGAACTTTGATTAACAACACTTCTTATTCAAGAAATAAAAGTGAAGGTCCTGCAATTAAGGGTTTCAATAAAAATGTTAGAATAAAAGATGATGAAATTATGACAAGTGTTTATAAGCAAACAATCTACACAAGACGCGGCAGGTATTTCGTAATATTCAATTAAAAGAATCGAACCAAGAATTTGACATTTGTAAACACGTAGTGAAATGACGAGCCAATAACTACTATAACTTTCTATAATTCCGTAATTAAAAGCGTGTACATAACTTATTTGTTCCACATCATATCATTGTAACAAAAAAAAATTTTCTTGTTACGCTACCGCGAGTCACATTCAAAATGTTGGCACGGATCTAATCAAGAAATATTAGGAATAACATGTAATAAAGGAATTTTACACAGCAATACCAATATTTGAGAAAATAATGTAAAAACGGAACGAAAAGGAGGCAAAATTATTTAATATGAACAAGGCAACTAATTTAAACAAACTTTCCCCTTACGGTATGAAATATTAGTTAACCTAGGCTATCTTCTAGATACTACCGAGATTTATGGAAAGCATTCAAAATACGAGCGCCTTGAATACCAAGATATACTTTTGTTTGTTATATTTTTACAATTATCATTGAATTTAATTTTCAAACATAATACTTTTATTTAAAAACCACATTTCATCAAGTAAAGTTGTTCAAGGACATTGAATTTAAACATATACTTTGCACAAATAATTATCGTTCCCAAAAAAAATTTTATAAAGTATGGTTCGGAATAACGAAAAAGCGATTGCGACGTTGTCGATTGGTGGTTGAACAAGATACGATGAATTTTATTTTTCTTTGCTCTTTGGTTACAGTTCTTAACTACTAAGCTTGTGTATATACAATATAACACAAGCAGATGGTGTTGTAACAGAGCATCGCAGCATACCCAGTTGCTACTGCATAAGTTTTAAACGTCATAACGTCAAAGATTTTCTTCAGATTCACAAATTACATTAACATTTGTGTTCAGCATGCTTGGCGAGTGAACATGAAAATTTACATAGTTGCGTAGCCTAGAGATATAATTAAAATTTATTACAAAAATATCATTGTGGATATTCCAGTTGAACCTATTTCTTTAAAGTAGAGTCGTAGGTTAAATTGAAACTTCAGCTCATTAGCTTGGGTTTTCAGAACAATTGAAATTATCAGCAGCATTACCAGCAATGTCAGGAATAAGATATTCCAACAACATTGTTTTAATTTTAGTCTTATTACATTGATTTTTATTTTTATCTGAAATAATTCTGGTTTTTTTTTCTGGGCTGCTCTGACCTGGAAGTAATGCAAGACGAGGTAGCGTACATTTGGAAATTTCATGGTAGGAATGTTGTCGCGTTTAATGATAAACATTTCACCTGTTTTAATGTTAAGGGTTAGTTTCTTCCACTTATGCCTTTGCTTGCATGATCTCCAAAATTCATGGTTTAATTGAGAATTGGGTTCCTATTTTAGCATGAACGATAGTTTAGTCATTTACTAGATTTTTTGGTATTAATGGCGATATATCGGAGGGACCAGTAGACCCAACCGTCAAGAAACCGGAATCTAATGTTGCCACTATATTCTCGACTTTGTCTTCCAACTCTTCATATGTCAATGAAGCTGTACCTAAATTTCAAATTAGAAGGTGCTTTGCTGATTTTAAGGCATTCTCTATTAGTCTTCCAAAACGAGCAGCGTTGATTGGAATAAAGTGGAACTGTACTTACTTTGAGCTGCATATTGAAACTTTTTATTGCTCACCATTTTCGGAAAAGATTGAATCAAAAATTTCTGCCAGTTTATTGGTCCGCTAACAAAATTTGTCTTCGACTGATGAACCCTTTTAATACATCTACGAAAGGTATAGTTGGTAGACAACTCATAAGTCCGAACTGAGCTGCCTTCGTAGTTAAGCCATAGAGCACTCTGGCGTTTACATTTGTAGAAAACGCCTGCATTGCAAGAGTACTTCTCGTTTGTGGAAGTTTCCCCATTATATTCTGACACAATTTGGAAAGAACTTCGCTAGATTCTAAGCGTTTCTGTGCTTTTGTTCTCCCTGCTATTTGTCCTCTTATTGACCAGAATCTCTTCCTTATTATTCCTAATAATGCCCTCGGAATCCATAGCTTGTCTTCATCATGCACCATCTTAAATAATAATTCTACCAGAGGGTCGTTGTATGGAAGAAATTTCATATCGTGATCCATGTCGTAAGATAAGTTCAGTTTTTTTAATCGTCCTCCGACTCGTATGATTCCTTGGTTATCAATGAAAAGAAATAAACTGCAAACAGAACTTTGTTTTCCAAGCTCTTTTTTTTCCAATTTTTTGGCTCGTCCTGGAAATCAGTTATTTGAATGTCACGTATGATATCCAAAACTTCTGCGTCAATCTCTTAGGAGTTGCAGGTTTCAAACCTTCTTCAAGATTTGTTGGCCAAGGAAATTGAACCGAAACGAAGAAATATGACATTATCCGTTGTAATTTTTGCGATGAAGACTTGTGTTCAACGTTGTACAAAAAAACAAATTTAAAACTATTTGTGATTGCCAATACTACAGTTGTATTTTATTTTCTTTCAAGATAAACGGTAATTTGTAGATGTGGCAGGAATATGGCAATCTCCAAAAAACGTCTGCTTGCCTAACGAACAAATAGTGATGACTGAGGATTTATCTATGGCAGCACAATTTTGGAATCCGTCCACAAGAAAATTTGCAGAGCTTTTATTTGCATCTCTTCGAAGACGATATGATAGTCTGCAACTAGAAATGCCAAAGATCTAAGATTGGTAACGTTTGTTTCTTGAGGGTGCTGCACGAGATTTTGCGTATAATAGGCACGTCATCACTCTATTATCTTTGATATAGCTCGTAGGTATGCTGCGGCTACGAATGCCTTTGCGAACGAATATGATGTTCACTGCATTTAAGTGGTTAATAGGATGTTATCTTTGAATATTTATAGAGATATTTAAAATTGTTTAACGTTTTTAAATTTTAACGAAATTTCATCCATGTGAAAATTGGGATTTCATGGAAGACTTTTGTAGTGTGACTGAATATTGTTGCAGATGTGCATCCATTTGAAGTGTGTCATATATTATAATAGTAAGCAAAACTTTATTAACAAAACAACAAAATATGGCACACTTCGAAACGCTTTGAATTGCATTTCCCAATAACCCAATTTATAAACAGAGGTAAAGGATGCAGTTGAAGCTAAGCGTTCCCATTTACCATTTATGGTGATTACAGCATTAAGTAATTTATTCATAAACAAGTAAGAAAATAATTAAGCTAGAGATGATCAATAAAGAAAAGGAGTTCAATTCATTTATAATACTGAATCAATCTTAGCGTTTTCATTCGCTTCATATTTGTTAGGGACCTCTCTGGCCGACATATTTGGCAAAATGAAGAGGAAAGAAAATTTGGCATACTAAAACCGAACAGTCAGGACCACTAAGAGGGAATGCTCCGCAGTCTCTATGAGAGAATTCATTCGCATTCATACTACAATAAACTTATAACATTACACTTTCCTACGTTAATTTAAACTGTCACAAGTGTTGAATAAATATCCTTGCACTAACTAAGACAGTAACCAAAATTCGGAGCAGTTCAAAGAGTATTCCCAAGTCGAAACTTACAGTGCACTTTTGGGAACTTTTACTAATTGTGCCTTTACCTTAAAGGTAGCGTAGTCAAGTAGCCCACTGCGCTCGAAATCCATATTGATTAGACGATAATTTTTTTGAATGTTTTAAAGAGGGTAGGTGTAATGTTCAATCTAATTCTAAGAATTACATTTATGTTTTCCTAAAATATGTATTAATTTATGTTCTCATTTAATCGCTGTATTCAGACTTTTCAAACAACCAAGTCCATAATATATGTAACAAGTGTTTTTAAGTATATTGGCACCTAAAAGATGATCGATGCCTTTATCATAGGCAATTTTCTGAAGACAATTTATAGCCAGATGTGCAGCAGTTCGGGTTCCGTAAACAGCTGTGTTCAGCTGATAGCGCCTCATGAAAGTTGAAAGCCCCAATCTTCCTAAAATGATCTGGTACATCGTTTTGATGTATGTAAGATTTATCGTTACATCTTTCCAATAACTGTGGTGAATACAAATCCTGGTATTCAAAAACGAACGGCTGTATTTGTTGAGCCAGTACACATTAGGTCATTAAGTAAATGGCCGGGTAATATTTTTACAAACGCATCGTAGTTTAATGAAGTGGCTGATATAAGAAAATTGCATACAACCATGTAAGAAAAATTTTTTTAATGAAAATTATGTAATTCCAAGTATGCAGTTTTATCCTTGTTTGAAATGGAACCACAGCAAAATAAGAATATAGCAACATAATGCCATAAGTCATAGAAATAAATACATGAAATAAAACCTGTTTTCTTCTCTTTTAAAAGGTGAAAAAAGAAGAGAAAACTGTTACAAATGTATGCGTAAATATCAACTATAACATATTAAATGGTAAATAATGAAATTGCATTAAGAAGCTTTGACATAATCAAATACACAACTCAGAAAAGCAGCAACAGCGAATATATCAATGAGATAATTGGACCCATATAAAAACAGCTTCATCTGTGACCTCGTGCCTAATGTAGCAGTACACAACCATC